GGTGAAAGCTTGCCCTCCCTGCTTGGGCGACAATGGCACATGGTCTCGTGTTCCTTCCTGAAGGCATCATCCGGGGATTGCTCTTGCGGTGGTGGAGCTATTGGGAGTTCGGTGAAGGATTGAGGTGGCCTGGTCTTCTCTGTGACAGCCGGCGTGGCTCCTGGTGTGGAGGGTCCCTACCACCGGTGCGGATTGCCCACGTGCGTGTCCGAGGGGATCGGTGTCCCCTTTACTGATGTTGGTGGTACACTGCCTAGTGGGAGCCCTGGCTCCGACGATTCTAATGCACGACCGTCACATTGTGTTGCCCCTCTTTGGCCTTATATGTGGTTCTTCGCCTTCGATCAACGACTCTTGGCTGACGTCTTGTCTTTGCAGTTGTCGACAACGATAGTGGTCGGTCTCCGTTGCTTGTGGGTCTGTTGTTGTTGTGCCGCTATGGCAACTTGGGCTCCTTGGTCGGGGTTCTAGTGGAACCTCACCGTTTGTCGCCGATGCAGCACCCGTCGAGTGTGGGTGAAAAGATAGTGGCCCATTGCAGCGTGGAAGATAGATCTTGTGTTGCTCATCCTTGGCCATTTGGTTGCAGTCACCGGCACGATACATGCCCGGTGTGTGCCCTCTTTCTGCGGCCTTAGTTGGGTTAGTTGGTTTTGGCTTCGCCGTGGTCGATGCCAGCGGTGTTTGTTGTTGCCTTTGAGTCGTTTCTCATAGCTCTTTGTATCTTTGTTTCGCTTTGCTTTCAATTCTCTATACTATGGTGTCTTTGTCATCCTTGTCAATTGATGACTTTGTTAATTTAAAATCAGGCTAGGTTGGAGCATTCTCTCGGGCTCAGTTGATGCATTTTCTCTAGAAGCACGTAGAGGAGCTAAATAGACATGTGCCGCGGATAGAACGGCTACGACCTATGAAGGCATGCGTGGATGCATGGATGACTCGTAATAAAATGGTGATTGAGAAAGTCTTCCCGCGGAAGGCATCTGGCTCCTTCAAATTCCTTGCTTTTCTGTAGCACTGGCACTTGCTGTCGAGGCAGCGTGACCGCGACCGTCTCGACCTCATGCTGGATGCGCCCCTGCTATAGCACGTCGGCTTTCGTTATCTTAGTGCCGCTTGGCGGCCGCCACTAGGTGGTTTCTTATGATTTTTTTATGCTTTTTTGGACATGTTTGTGTTGTGGCCCTAGCCGTCATTTCTCGATTGAGATTTCGATACTTGTTGTATGAACCATGAGTAGGGCGTTTTGGTGACCGAGCTCCATGGAGCCCTTTATTTTTGAAAAATTCAAAATTCAAACTTTTTGACTTCAAAAAATTCTGAAAATAAATATGTAACTATACACGGATGAAATGCATGTGTGTGTAAAAATTCAAGATGAAATACTTCGAAATGCGACCTATAGAAAAAAGACAAATTTCTGGACTTTGAGAATGAATAGTAACATGTGTTAAAAGGCCTCAGATTTGTCTTTTTTGCACAGCCTTCATTTCAACGTATTTCGTCCTAAAAATTTATACACATGTGTGTTATGCCTCCATGTATATCTGTAATTTTTTTCAGATTTTTTTGAATTGTAAAAATATGAATTTTCATGATTTTTGTGTTTTTCAAAAACCGGCCTCCATAGAGGCCGAGCTTCAAAAGGCATTTTCGCCAATGCTTTATCTATAAAACGAGACGAAAAGACTATTTCAAGCTGAGTCAATAACATATTTCTCAGAAAAGCCTAAATGTATGCACAGGTGTCCACGGGTTCGAGGTGCATCAGTCCAAGCACGGTATCACCATTGACCAGGTAGCATACGCCGCTAAGATGCTAGACAAAGCAGGCATGGCTGGTTGCAACCCCTATCACGTTCTTCCTGAGGCGAACTACAAGCTGAGCAAGGCAAGCTCAACACCGCGCGCTGACGCCTATCGGACTATTTTTTTTAAACGAGACAAAAGACTTGCCATTTTTATTAATTAAGAAGAGAATCGTCCGGTTAATTGACGAAAAACCGGGCTAAAATCGGTACAACACAGCCCACATGATATGGGCACCACCGGTCAACCTGGCCATCAATATAGCACAAAAGCCACGACGGCACATGCCAACAGATGGCCACACACACAAGCAACCGACAACTTTA